ACTTTATAAGACAACAAATTAATATACAATATCCTACATGATTCAGATTATGTTTGCAGGATTTCCAGTGATAATGACAAGATGCTTACTGGCTGAATGTTATTATACCATCCTCAATGCAACTACAAAATTTGTACCTTTATGACAGTATTTATATGCTTTTAACATGATTGTGCACACGTACAAGATAATATTTATTTTAGCTCTCGTCTACAGAATGCGTGCCAGACGTATAGACAGATTTCTTACAGTAACTCTGTAAGCCCTGGCTAGGAAAAACGATTATGGGTTTCTTGTGTTTAAGTAAATGAACCTTCTGATATGTATAAAGATAATGCATTTTGCTTTTGCCTTGGCTACCAGAAGTTACAGGGAAATGTTGTTCATGTACCCTTTGAGAAATGGAAATCAAATCTGGATGATGGCCTTGCATTAAGATTTGTGATGTAATGATGATGACGATGATAGTTTATTTGGGAGCTCTTATCATGTCACTGCTTAAAAACCTGGGGAGATTTAGTCTCACATATTTTGAACATGTTATCAGGAGAGACCAGTCCCTGGAGAGGGACATCAAACGTGGTAGAGGGACAGGCAAGAAGAGCAAGACCCTAATGAGAAGGATAAGCATAGTGACTCCAACTGTGGGCCCCAGCATAACAACACTCACGCATTATTTGTGTTTTTGTCTTTGTACTATTATGATCTTAACCTTATCCCCTTAGTGCAATTTGGCATTGTCTTCTCTTGGGTTTCCCATATGTGAAGCACAGGAGGAGTGTGTATATACTGATAATAATTGATTCAAGGTGTTATAAGGAATGCAGGGGTAAGGAAGGGCAATAGGGAGAGAAAGGGGATTTCGGGAGTAAATAATAAAGGCGGGTGCCGAGAGGGAGCACGAGAACTGGTCGTGATTGCACAACTTGTTTTAAAGGAGATTTAACCATGGAGGGCAGGGGGGTGCTCGAAGATAAATGTGGTACTCTTTGTGCAATTCCCCTTGATATGATTGAACAATTGAATTACAGTGAACCCTCGCCACTTCGCGCTTCGACTTCCGCGGCTTCACGCTATCGCAGTTTTTGCGTAACAGCGCATGCTCTGTCATTACTGCCAC